TTCTCCTGTATCCTTTATTCATTACGGGCTGATCCTCCCGACTTGAGGACGGAGCTCGCGGCGCAAGAAGACGGGCCGAGCCGCCTGCCAGCCGCCGCCGCGAGCAGCGCTATGCTATGGCGCGTGGTGGGGTTTAAGTGATATATCCTGCTGTAAGTCTGCTCTGCAGCCTCGCCATGTGAAATAACAGTCCAGGAATACCTCCTCCTACCGTCTACTGTTCAACCCCATCTGTTCAGACAGCAGATGTCATTAATCCTCACACCACTGAATCAAATCAAGACTCGATATCAATTACCCCACCGTGCTCACAACGTGATAAGTTGTGGATGAAGGTGGCGACTCAGACCTCAGGGTATTGTGTGTTGAATCTATACACTGCATACCAGCCCGACAACTTTTATTATTTCAGTAACATGCTGCATTACGAGGTCTAAGAAGAGATATAAGCCCATAGTAGAGGGGAAATTAAGAATATGGCAAATAATATCAATCTAAAACGCTAATCTGCAAGTCTGTGTTTTTGTCTTTTTTTGCTCCACGATGGTTACTGCTCATAAGAGCTCTTTGTCTTCTTCTCTATTTAATCTACATTAGAAGCATGCACTGCATCTTCTGTGAGACATTACATTACATTACAGTCATTTAGCAGACGCTTTTATCCAAAGCGACTTACAATAAGTGTATTCAACATCGGTTTTCGAGAGAACAACTAGTCACCAGAAGTAATAAGTGCATGTCCTTTCCTCAAACAAGCATCTAAGAGCATAAACCAGAGCCAACGTACAGTGCAGAAACAAACGAATGCAATAAGTGCCACAAACTAATATAAAAACAATAAGTGCAATAAGCTAGTATGAATACAATAGATGCTAAGGAAGTGCTAAGCGGAAGGGTAGGCCTTCTTGAAGAGCTGAGTTTTCAGCCTGCGCTGAAAGATGGGCCGCGACTCTGCCGTCCTGACGTCAGTGGGGAGTTCATTCCACCACTGTGGGGCCAGGACAGAAAACAGCCGCGACCGGGTCGATCGGCCGCAGGGACCTCTGAGCGATGGGGCAACCAGTCGCCCCGAGGTAGCAGAGCGAAGTGGTCGGGCCAGGGTGTAGGGCTTGACCATGGCCTGGAGATAGGAAGGAGCTGTTCCTGTCACTGCCCTGTAGGCTAGCACCAGAGTCTTAAACTGGATGCGGGCTCTTACAGGTAGCCAGTGTAGAGAACGGAGAAGGCAAGTTGTGTGGGAGAACTTGGGGCGATTGAACACCAGGCGAGCTGCAGCTTTCTGGACAACCTCCAGAGGTCTGATGGCCGACGCCGGGGCTCCGGCAAGTAGTGAGTTGCAGTAGTAGGATTAGCACCTGCGCCGTCTCATCAGTGAGGAAGTGAATCCTCCTGATGTTGTAGAGCAGGAATCTGCAGGAGCGTGTAACCGATGCAATGTTTGATGAGGACGACAGTTGGTCATCCAGGGTCACACCCAAGTTTCTCGCAGTCCGAGTTGGCGTCACCACGGTATCATCAATGGTGATGGACAGGTCTCGGTGCGGGCAACCCTTCCCCGGGAGGAACAGTAGCTCGGTTTTGTCCAGGTTGAGCTTGAGGTGGTGTGTCCTCATCCACTTCGAGATGTCAGCCAAGCACGGAGCGATGCGTGCCTCCACTTGAGTGTCCCCGGGGGGAAATGACAAGACCAGCTGGGTGTCATCGGCATAACAATGACGAGACGAGTTTGAATCACTGCAGGAACACAGAAGAGAACGAACAAGAAGCTTCCACACCGTTACTCACTGAAAGTACTAGAGTAGCATCAAAACAAACAAGATGGAGCTCATTTTAACTACTTCAGACCGCTGGGTAACTTCATCTATATTAATAATAATAATAATAATAATAATAATAATAATAAAGGTATTAGTTGACTTACATTTTGTGTTCATTTAAATCTGCAAAGTAACTTAATGTCAGATAACTGTAGTAAAGTAAAAAAAACAATATTCCCTTTTCAGATGTAGCAGAAAATGGAAAAAGTCGAGTACAAGTACCTCAGAATTGTACTGAAGTACAGTACTTGAGTGAAGGTACTTAGTTACTGCTTATACGTTTTAGAGAACTAATCTTTCATGTCCAAAAATAGTCCTTTTGTTTTCTGATGAAGAGCAACGACGTACTTTTTATACATGTAATAAAAAGACGTTTTTAAAGAGTACAGTGTGTTTTATGTTTTGTTTAATTTATTTTACAATAATAATAATTTATATCTTTTGTCTTTGTTAAGGATATATGTATATCTATGATGGAAAAACATTACAAGAAAATCTACATATTAATTTGACCAGATGTATATGTTGATTTCCTGATTTGCTTTATTTTGTTGTTTCAGAAATAACATTAAAGTGGGAAAAAACGACTTTTGCGAGTCATTGCAAAATAAGAAAATGTCTCAAATAAATCACACAGAACTCGGTGAAACAGCTGAATGTGCATCTTTATGTTTAGACAGCAGAGGCTGAGGATTCTGCGTACGGGTCAGGGCCGAGGCAAACACCCAGCATCAGCTTACACTCACAATCCCGACCTTAACCCGAGGGCCACGCTGCCTACACGCTGACCTGAGCACAGCTAATGAGAATACGGAGCCGGCGTGAGGCTGTCGTCTCTTCAGCACCAGAATAACTCCTGATTGAAGAGGTGATTGTTGCTCGGACACGTTAATGCCGCTTTTATTACGTCTCGCTCAAAATGAACTAAGTATTTGACTTCTAATGGAGCCTCTGTGGAGGAGGCGGGGAAAGCCACGCTTTAATCTGAAATAACTGAGTTTTAGTAATCTGAAGCTACACATTCATCACTTGGTGAAGGGAGGAATCAAAATGCACAACTGGCTTTTATGGCAACACAAGATACATTTAGAGATTTCCCTGAAACACGTCTCAACAGCACAAAGAGGACTCAGACATGCGGACTGGGGTTTGGAGGGTGATCTAGCCGTCATCCCCGACAGCCATTTACAGCACCTGACTGCCGCTGCGGCCTCGAGGCCCGACCGCGACCCCGAGCCGAGTCAAGCCCGGTGTGGAGTGACACGGTGTCGTACCGACGCCCGGGGAGCGTGCCTCCGCCAGATGACACCAGGGTTCAGACGGCGGCGAGGACAGATGACACGCATGCCGCTCGGGAGGAACGCCTTGTTGTAAAAAGGCTTGCGTGTGTGTGTGTGGCCCCCCGATGCACGCCCACATCGCACAGCCGTGTTGTGACACTCGCAGACAGGCGTCCACACTCATTCAGGCCTCCCAGCGGCCTTCATCAACGTGTTCTCCTTTTCAACAACAGCCCAGACGCACAAACACTCACTCACTCACTCACTCACACACTGGATTTTAAAGGAGGACGCCACTTGATTTGAGGATTTGTGTTTCTTTAGACACTCAACATCAAGACACCGGAGAACGACGGCTCTATTTCCAGACAACCAGCAGCCTGAGGCCTCATTTTATGAATGACCGATCCAGCTATTGATGCTTCACCTCATTTAAATCAACTCAAGCATCTTCAGGTTGCACACAGACACACTTGAAAATCATTAATGCAACAAAACTGTGAAAATATGACCAAAAATTGTGAATGAATATATATATATATATAAAATTTAAGGAGATAATAAGAACTGCTGCATTTAGTGACGGAGATTATATCAATTTATAAATGAATTAAAGATTAAATATTCCGTATCCTGCTTCAACCATCACATGCAGAGGAGCCACTCTGGTGGCTTCATCTACTGTAAACACACACACACACACAAAGAGAGGACTTAAAAGTGCATCTTTGTGAACACACACACTAAACCGAGCATGCCAGGCATACCAAGGGGAGCCTGAACAAGCCAAGGCGGGGGGGTGCACACACACACACACACACACACACACACACACACACCTCTTTGAAAGTGATACATGGCTCTGGCTGGCAGCAGAGCGCCACTCCAGATCCCCTCAGACAGGCAGAGAGGATGCCAGGCTGGTCGGGATAGTAATGTAATGAGGCTGGACCGTGTACACACACTCACACTAAGTGCCTAAGTTCGCTCAACAATGCGGCCAACTGTAAAGATAATATGGATGAGTGCCTCACACTACAAAGCAAAACTGATGGTCAGATATGCATTCCTGGGTATCACATGTTTGTAGAGCCACACACACACACACACGCACACACACACACACACACACACACACACACACACACACACACACACACTAATAAATATATATTCACACAAATCTGATGACACTTTCTAAATAAATCTGATGACATGTTTTTAATCTGATGGTTGTTTTATCGCTGCTGTTTCAATTTAATTTTCTTTGATATTTTCCTATGTTTATCATAAATGTTATGATTATCTTCTTCTATGTTGAGCACATTGTGTTTGCATTTCATGCATAATTGAGCGATATAAATAACGTTAATTATTAAATACGTGGACGAACACACAAAACGCTACAATTTGGAGGACATTCCAACAAGTTTTATCTCGTCTCATTCTGCCGTTTTAATTCTATTTATTTGTCCTTATTCTTCATTGTTTTATCATAAATGCAATGATAAATTATAAATCCTTTATGTTCAGCAACTTCTAAACAAGTTGTTTAGATAATGTGGTTGGAAAATCTGTCTGCCTTTGTTGCTTCAGCGTCATGTTGGCAGATTTCAGCAGTTAAATGAATGAATAAAATCTCAAACCAATGAAAGTTGATGGCTAAAACTACAAACATCAGAACTACTGGGATTATCTGAGTTTTAAGATTATATCCTCCAACTAGGAGTAATTACTCTGACACATGTGTTTTTTAGAACAAAAAATGTGAAATGGAAACCCAGAAACTGCACATGTAGGTATCCAATCATGAGTAAAGATCTAAAAAACGTTAAATATATATATCATCCTGACCTCTCCAGGTGTTAAGACTCCCCGTCAACCTCGGACAAAGAAAGGATATGATTGGGTGGCAGGAAGTTCCAGCAGAGCACCTGGTTGGCCAGAGCCAGGTAGCGCTGGAAGACGGACGACATCTGGGCGTTGAGGTTTTCTCTGCAGCTGAACTCCTGCAGCACCTCCATGGTCAACATGAAGATCTGCAGCAGGCCGTCCTCCTGGAGGAGAAGGAGAATTAACTGAGGCATCAAAGCATTAAAACGTGAAACTACGTGACAGGAGGTGAGGTGAGGTGAGGTGAGGTGAGAGGGCAAACCTGGAAGAGACGCTTGCAGCTGCCGTGAAACTCCATGCTGAGGCCGATGCTGCTGGTCTTACTGGAGCTGGAGAACTCGCTGAGCAGAGCGGTCAGGATGGAGCAGGCCAGCGTTTGCTGCAGCACAGAGTGATCACACAGAGGTCAGAGGTTACACGGGGAGTTACACAGAGGGAGCGAAGGAGGCTTCACGGAGGAAGACTTCTCATTTCTCAGTTTGTACATCCTTGGTTCCTTTCCTCGCCCGGGCTGTGATTGACAGGTCGCTGCCGCTACCAGAGCCGTATACTCTGGTTGTATAGAAATCTATGAGAAAATGACTCTACTTCTCTCTTGATTTATTACCTCAGTAAACATTGTAAACATGAGTTTATGGTCTCAATCTCTAGTTTCAAGTCTTCTTCAATACAGCATGTTCATTTAGTACATTATGGTCCATTTAGAGTCACACAGACCATAAAGCAGGGGATGCTTTAGGGCGGGGCTACACACTGATTGACAGGTCTACGCTCACTTCTTATATACAGTCGCAGTCGTCGCCTCCTAGTCCCTCCCACTTGAGATGCGAGCAGAGGAGGCGAGGAGGAGAAGGAAGGAGATTTAACTAAATAAGACATCTGTCATTTTAAAGGGACGTCCGTAGAATGAGAGGTACATCACGGGTGTCAATAAGACTTCAGCAAAGGATGCACCTGTGCATCCTCAGCTCTTTCTGCAAGCCTCCTCTCTCCTCCAGATGCATTTTCGGAATCGAGACATTCTTCTTTCTGAGATTGATTTTCGGGTCATAAGTAGGAGGAGGAGGAGGCACGAAATAGAGAAATGATGTGTGTGTGTGTGTGTTTCGCGCTGGAAGAACAACAAAATTAAAAGTGAGTTTACTGAAAAACAATTCAGTCATTATGCAGCTTGATTTCTTGCAGCACATAAAGTAAACAGAGCAGCTGCAAAACATTAAACTAAGTTGTGGTTTTATTGGAGAGAAAAGCTGAGTGAAGCTCTCAAACATCTTTGGAACAGAAACATTTGGTTTCTTTTGTGAGGATAAAAGTACACTAGAGAGTACACTGTGTATTGTGTACTGTATGGAATTGGGAGACGATATAGATATATTTTCGACATCCATTATTTTGAATTACAACCTGATCACAGGAACTATTGATTATCATGAAACAGTTGGTAGAAGGGCAGAGCTCGTCCTGAAAAGGATAAAGGTTTATAGAAATCATCATGGAACAGGAGCTACATGTGTTACTCACAAGCCGCTAGAGATGAACTAGTAACCAGTGACGTGTGTGTCAGGGATTTTTAGTGTGTCGTATAAGCAACTGGAGGCCTAAAATTCCCTTGGGAACAAGGAAGGAAGTGATTAAGCAACTAAGACAGCAAGTAAGTAAATAAAAAGAGAGAAATGAAAGAAAGAAAGTATATAAGTAAAGTCAAAGAAAGCAAGGAAATAGGAAAGAAAAGAAAGGGAATAAACAAGGTAATAAGAAAAACTTTAAAAAGTAAATAATGTCTGGTTCTTGTGCATCTCTCAGCCCTCACAGTAGCACTGTTCTAGTTCACTTCAGTAAACAGATCAAACACTGCCCCCTACTGGATGAGGAGGAGACGCCTGGTGTGTTATAATAGAGCAGCTTTGACACAAACTCCTGTTAAAGTAGTTTTACAAAAAAAGGTGAAAAAAGGAAAGCTAAATATTTCCTTCTGAATTGCAATCAAGTAGAAAAAATAAATACACAAATAATAAAACAAGTACCTCAAATCAGTATTTAAGTACAGTACTTGTGTAGAGGTACTTCTACCACTCATAAATATCATTAAGAACTTCATGCTCCTGTGCTGAGCTTTGACATTGAGGAGGATATTTAAATGATGTATAAATAAACAGCGATGGGTTATTTGTTTTATTGTAACGTGTAATAGATCACATTGTGCTCTGATACACGTCTCTCTCACCACGGTGGTGTTCCCGCTGCTGATGAGCTGTCCGACCTCGTGAAAGACGCTTTTACAGTTGATGCTTTTGTCCAGAGAGCCTCTCTTCACGATGACCGCCACGGCCAGAAGGATCTGCTCACGGACGTACTTCTGGAGGCTGGAGGGAGACGGGGGGGGCTGCTTATTATGGGATACTCAGTGTCTTACTACAGTAGATGGAGCAAAGTAATGTTCAGCTGTGGATGTATTTTAAACTCTTAAAATAATCAATATCAGAATGTTTTCACCTCTTTATCTTGCTGTCACACAGACCTTTCTGAGGGGACTGAAGCCGTTATCTATGATCTCTACAAACACACCAGACTCCATTCATAAAAACAGTGATTCCACCTCTCAGAACACTTGACTTGCTGGTCTACTGTTACTAAATGTTGTGTCTGAGGCTTCAATCACAGCTGCAGCTTCTTGTCTTTGGCCTGCATCAGGTGGAAAAGTTACATTTATTGCATTTGTGTGTTTATCTACTCAAACAATAATGAACATAAATCCCTCTCGCTCGTTTGTTTGTTGAACAGTTTTGTTAACCCGTCACTGCAGAGACTCTGACTCGTTTCTTCTACTGTGGTGTTTTTAACCAGTGGACACAAGAAGAAACAGATCATTATGAGCATCAGCTTCGACTTCCCATAATATGAAGACCAGCTGATGCAACTGTCCAACCCATTTTGAGCATTAAAGTTACATTTTTTTTTTTTTTAAATCCCATTCAATTTTCCAAGAAAAGGACTGTGGAGCATTTCAGGAACTGTGTTAGTTAGAGAAGAGGTCTATCAGTGTTCTCATTATAAACCTCACACCTTTCATACACTCTCAGGTGTACTTATGCCCCTCCCCCTTTCTTACTTGGGTCTCTGCAGGACGTAGGTGAGGAGGAACGCCCGGAGAGACTCGATGCTGGTCTTCTCCAGCAGGATCCACTCCCGCACCACGGCCTCCATGACGGCCGTGGCTGCCTGGAACAGCACATAGTCCACCTTACTGGTCTCTGTGGGGGAGTGGGTTTAAATTCATTGCTTTGTGCATTTAGATGTTGTGTTTATAATGGGAAAACTTTGCTGCTGTATTACAGTGTTTGGTGCAAATCATGGATATATCCCAGACTGTGAACAGATCTAATCCCTCGAGCATTTAGTGCAGGAACTATTTACATATTTGTGTTGTTTTTTCTCCCATAACAGTGGCATTATGTAAACAAACATTTAAAGGGTTGTAATTATGGCTTAAATGATGATGTCAATAGTTACCTAAGATGTGCTTGCAGATGGCAAAAGGGGACTTGGACTTCCTGAAGGAGAGGAATATGTGTTCAGCATGCTGCCTCTGTTCTGTGCTGACCATGGACGGCGGTGCCTGCAAACAAAATGCATCTTTTACACTCGGGTTTATTTCTACCATTTTCTGTCTTCTCATTTCTTATGTTTGTGATTTTTAAGATGCTGTTTGCAGGAATATGATATTTTATTCAATGAGAGATGGATTAAACGTGCACTAATAAACTTAGACATAATAAGACATTACATTGTGTAACTTGTCCAAGAAAACAGTATGTTTAGGCAAAGAAAGTACAAGCCTCATTTTTCCAGTGATGGAGATGCCGCCCCACACCATCACACTGCCTCCACCAAAAGGTGTTACTCTATCGGTGCAGCAATCAGCATAGCGTTCTCCCCGTCTTCTCCACACTTTGACCCTACGATCCAACTTCCTTAGACAGAATCTGGACTCATCGCTGAACATAACGTTCCTCCACATGTTCAGGTTCCAGTGCAGGTGTTGCCGACACCGGCAGAAAAGATTTGGCAAATTTTTCATGGGCGCAACCCACATACTCAGCTGTGCTGCTCATCCCAGAAACGCATGTTCCTTACAAATGGGGCACCGTTTGAAAGGTAACTAAACAGGCTTTCCAACAGTATAAAATTCATTGCCAAGAAGCATTGTTACAACAGAGAAATAATCTACCAAATACTAATTTCCGAACTTTTTGTTCGATGTTTATAAAAAGCAGCAATGACCAACAACACATAGACCTACAGTATGTGTTCATACTAGTTCATGTTTACCTCTCTCTGCTTAGCTTTGTTTACCTTGTTTACAGCTGTATGTCAACCTCCATCTTCCTGTACATTATTGTGTATAAACTACACTAAAGAGACAACTTCACATGTCAAATTCCTCTTGCATGTGTTCCTTGTTAACCCAGACACTAAAACACACAGTATACATTATGATCCACAACACCTACAGCCATGCTAACCGTCTATTCACGAGACACCTGCTCGCTAACATGAAGGTAGAAACATGTCACGTGAAGGATTATATTTAAAAACAGAGGCAGTTAAAATATAAAACACACAAGGGGAGAGCTAAATGGCAGAAAGGACGATGCTGTAGCTAGCTAATGTATCACAGAGTCGTGACATGCACACATGGTGGTTAGCCACTTGCTCTTAGCCGAGTGTGGTCAGTTATTTACTCCAATGGAGGCTGGGAGAGGAGGAGGGGGGGGGGGGGGGGGGGGGTGGGCGGGGGAGAGAGAGAGAGAGAGAGAGAGAGAGGCAACCGTTGGACGTAAAGATGGTGTTTGTATAGGAGGTACATAATGAGCTAAAGCTACAACCGGCTGTGAATTAACGGCTGAGCGCGAGCTCCACACAGAGTGGAACCAAAACTTAACGGCTGAGCGCGAGATCAACTCCGAATCAAAACTTAACGGCTGAGCGCGAGCCGCTGAAGTTTCTGGAGCCACGTTGAGAGCGTGATGTGTTGTTACTGTGATGATGACGGTGGGGTTTTAGGAAAGACGGAAGACAAAATGGGGGGAATATTTGGGGTTTTATGCGGGATGAGGAGACAGTAACACACCGTTTCTCCGGTAAATCTGAACACACTATGAAAAACAACTTGGGAGTAGTCGCGAGCCTCCGACCGTTAAACTCCACGCGACACGAAGTCAACACAAACGTCCCGCCCTCCGCCATCATGGCGAGAAAATACGTGAAATATCTCACCATTAAAACTTTGGCAGCGCTTTCCAGCTGTGTGATCACTTCTGGTGCACCGACCGCCGCCATCATCGTCGTCCCTCTCCAATGACGCGCCATGCGCGCTCTGCATTGTGGGATTACAGCGCGGCTTGGTACCCAGGCGGTGGTTCGAGCCCGGGTTCAGCCCGTCAACTTCTAACGTGGAGACAGAGTTATGAAATATCAAATCAGGGTTTCTGATTTAACTCCTTATTTAGCATAAATACAAAAATATGACGAGAACAGTAATTGCATATACTCAACTAAAGTTACTGTACTTGTATACAATGTTGAGGTACTTGTACTTTACTTGAGTATTTTCAATTTCTCCAAACTCCACTAATTTATATCTGAGACAAATATTGTACTTCTTACTCCAATGCATTTAATTGGCAATATTAGTTAAAATATTAGTTACTACTTACTTTGCAGATTAATTATTAATGCAAAATATAAATAAACCAATTGATATATATAATTGATTCGTTTATTTATATTTATAACATAGTATGTATACACTGTGGTATTAATACTTACTTAAAATATCTGAGTACTTACAGCTGTACTTTGTAGAAATACAATTTTACATACAAGAGTTAGTAGATGTGATTATATTTAAATCAAAACAGCTCAGACGCAACCAGCTGCAACTATAAATGTCACCTTCATGGTAATAAATTAGTATTAATACAAAAGTGGTCATTTTGAGTAGCGATTACTTATACTGATATTATTTCCGTACTGTCATTAATGTAAAATTGAATGCAAGACTTATAACAGTTTTACGCTTTGCTTCTGTTGCTTTTTCTTAAATAAGTAAAATATAGTGGAGTTCTTTTTTGTTAATTTAAGAATAGACTTTTGAGTTCATGTTTCCATCAACAATAGTAAGACACTGTTGGTGTAATTAATTTATTTATCGTATAAGTAATTATTTATTATCAATCCCTGATCTCTCTCATTCCTCCTTATTTATTAATCATTTTTATTTACATCTTGTCGGTCACGACACAGAATTTAAATCCTGCGTTGTATTAATTACATTTAATTTAAATAGCAAACTGATTTTTTTATATGAGCTCAATTTTACCAAAAGTGTGTGAAAAGGATCAAATTTAATATCAGTTAATCTGAAATATAACAGTTAAAAATGATCCGGAAGACAAACACAGACGCCTTCAACGCAGTGAAATAAAAGCACGAGTCCAAGCTGGTTAATTTAATTTATACATTTTACACACGAGGATGTGAAAGCATTTTTACAAGTTCTCAGTTCATACATGAATGTAAAAAACAGAGAGAGCCGTCCACATTACATCATCGATAATACTGCGTAGACATGGTGGTTTTAGGGGGGGATAAAAGATAGAAAAAATATGTATATCTGTATAAATATAAATTCAAGAGTAACAGAGTTGTATCGTACATCAAGGAGACGACAAGAGGCTCCTCAGAGTAGAAATACAAAATGAAAAAGAAAACACACGAGTACACGAGTACTGAGAAGAAACCAGAGATCAAGTCGGTGAAGATTGTCGGTCAAACCGTAGAAACAGGAAACGCATCACGCTCTCCTTTTAAAGCTTTGTTTTTAAAGAAACATTACGACAGAAAACCCTGACGGGGAAGAGTAACGCCAGTCTGCCTTAATCTCAACCGTGCAGCCCTTGAGCAAGGCACTTCACCCACAATGGATCCTGCTCTGGAGCAGACTGGTTTATCTGGGAAGCTCACGGGCAACATCGGCTTTGTTCACATGCAGGATGCTGGTTTATTAACCTCCTTTAAAACACAAACAACATAAAAATGTGTCGTGATTGCATGTTTGTTTTTTGTATCTATGCGAATAAATCCATCAATGCAACTATATAGTCGACTAAGATTTCTTTTATCTATTACCGTTTTATTTTAATGATGAACTATTATTTCCATGAAACTTATACGCAGATATCTGCTTAAAAATAAACAAGATTAAAAATGGTGCTTTTGAGTGAATCTTTGTGGAGAAACTCAGTTTTAAAGATCTGAAGATTAAATCAACTAATTTAAATCTTTATGACGAATGAGGGAAACCTGGATGATCTCTTCAGGCTTCAATAAAGTTTAGAATATTAATATTATTCCTATAACGTGAGTTAGTGACGAGAATAAGATGATTGTTGGTGTAAACAAAGCCGGTGTGTGGATGTGGAACAACTTCCTCAGATAAATATTAAAAACAGGTAAAAGAGGTCTGTAGATGATGAAAACAAGACTTTAAGATTTTGCTGCTCGCTTTAGAACAAAAGGCACATTTACAGAAAAACAAACTCAATACATTGTCAGGCAAAATAAAATAAAAAAATATTCTGTAACAAATCAGATCCTCACGTTTCTCCGTCTGCATCAGAGAATTACTTTAAACTCAGAATACTGTTGGAACAGTTTGGTGTTCAGTTATTGATTGTCAATAAGCAACAAGGTGACAAACGTGACACAACACTCAAACATGTGGTCATTTGGGATAAATAAAGACAATGCACCAAACAATAACCCTTTGTTCAACCATTTTAAAACAGAGAAAGATCTTCCTTCTATTTCCTCCTCTTCCTCTTCCTCTCCAGCGTCCAGGACCAGCCCGGCCCGCAGGAGGTGAAGAGTCTCAACCATCCATGTTCTACCACTGATCCTCATCATCCTCATCATCCTCACCATCGTCTCCTTAAAGGCACATTACTTTCAAAACCCAACACATTTAAGCCACAACAAAAGGAAAAAACAGGCAATATAATAATAATAATAATAATAATAATAATAATAAT